AAAAGGAAAAAAAAAAAAAAAATTCTTTGTTCTTCCAGAATTAAAGATCTAGTGGTGGTGGTTGGTGTATATCGTAGAGTTGGAAGTGACCCACAGCTGACCCTCTGCTGGGTTGTCAAAGGCAGTTCATGATGTAAAAAATTGCCCATCCTCCTGCGGAGCAGCTGGTAACCTTGAACCATGTGCCTTCAGGATTGCAGCATAGTTTCTTGCCATTAGGCCACCAGAGCTATTAATTCTTTTCAATTCAAGGATCTCATTTCCACTTAAAAATCTCTTTGGTTGCATATCCTTTCACAATTATAATTATTAAACATTCATTTTAAACTATTCTTAAAATTTCAATTCTGAATCTACATAGTTAGGAAGCTGGAGTTACCACAATTCCATTTCAACTAGTATTTCCATTAAGTGTTTCATGATTTGCACATTAAAAACTATGAAAAATCTAGTATGAAAATGTAGTTTTTTTTAAACTAAGGCTTTTTGTTTCTGATTTAAATGGCATCACTGCTCCCATGAATGCAGTCAGTAACAAAACAAAAAATGTTATTAACATCAGTTAATGAACATTATTGCTGTCATCATTTTCAACTTAATCTCTTAAATCCAGTCATGGTATCAATCCGTAAAGGCCAAAACATTTTTTAAAAAAATGTAACTGGTTTCATGGAGAACTGTATTAACTAGTGGAATAGCCCATAGGGTTACTGATAACCCAATGGCCACACCTTTCAGGCAGGTCAAATCCACCTGCAGCTCTAGAGTAGAAAGATGGAACATCTTTTCCTGTGTGATCTGAAAAGCCTTGAAAGCCCAACAAGGTAAACTACAAGTCATTTTCAACTCTATGCCTACAAGTTTCAGGGTTTGGTTTTTTTTTTTTAAGGTGGTGATAAAGAGCTAATGTTTGGGGATTCAGTATCAATAAAACAGAATGAAGAAAATTGGAAAAGAACTGTGTACAAAAAACTTCATTCTAGAAAACAGGAATGGCTGCCTAAGATCAATTTATCTATAAAGTATAATTCTAAGCATACTGATATCTTCTCATTCAACATCCTAGGACAATGGTAAATTATTCTCTTAATTGTCTCTCACTTCCCGATCTTTACTTTCCATTACCAAGTTTAAAACTCAGAATATTCAGTATAAGCTCCATAGGAATGTACCAAATAAGAGAGAAGTTAACTATCAAACTAAGTTCTCCAATCTTGAATGATAAAAATTAGTGCTATCCCTGCTGGCCATTTGTTGTATACTAACCAGGTCCCTACAATTGTAACAAAATGTATTAAAACAATCTGCTGAGAACTGGCAGGGTTACAGAGAAATGTGAGAAATAAAGGCTGAACATTCCTATTTTAAGAACCAATGTTTTCCCAAGGTGTAATTCTATAGGTGGATCATAACTTGGTAACAATGTATTTCACTATGGTTCTATGGTAATTTATCTTCTTTTAAATATCAAATTCTTTCATGACTATTAAAAATTAAGTGGTGGCCGGACAAGATTATTACAAGAGTTAGCATCTAGTCTTCGAAATTATGTGCTATGCATTGGAGAGTTGGACAGTGAATAGGGATGATAGAAGGAGAATAGATGCCTTTGAGCTGTGGTGCTGGATAAAGTGTTGAATATACCATGGACTGCTACGAGAACAAACAGGTTTGTCCCGGAGAGGGTGAAGCCCGAATGCTCTTTGGAGTCAAGAATTCTGAAGCTTCGTCTGACATACTTTGGGCATGGTGTAAGGCGGGACTGGTCCTTGGAGAGGTGGGAATGAGTGTGTTTGAGATGGCAAGGATGGCACTGGACAGAATGGTGTTTAGGGCTCTTGTACATAGGGTCGCTATGAGTCACAAGAGACTTGATGGCACATAACAACACCAATTTTATACTAGTAGTTCTCAGATACTTCAAACAGGTTAATTCCAAGAATGAGAATTCTTTCCAATCACTATATAAGATGAAAAGAAAGCTTTTCTAAGACTTTTTTCTAAGTCTGTTGAAGCTAAAATCAGTAAATACTTCATAGTAAATGCTAGTATAAAGTCATTCAACAACAAACACAAGAATCTGTTTTGGTGGTCTAAATGGTTCTAGATAGGTCACAATGTTATGGTAAAAAAAATAAATTTTTTATAAATGAGTAGAGCAGGTATTCGTCAACTGGTTGTGGTTGTAAAATTTTAAAATACTAAGTAATGGTGCTCTGTGAAAAACTGACGTTAAATAAAAACACTAAAAGCCAGTCTAACAGTGACTGTACAATCTATCATTAAGATTTCAGAAATGTTTGAGCATTTCAAGGACCACCATAAAGTGACAATGTTTGCAAAGCAGGTATAGAGTTTATTCCCCCTATTTAGAAGCATTTGCAATTCCTAAGATACACTAAACAGAAGTGATTGGCAAAACTTTGCGCTACTGAAAGCTTTATAAAATTGTAACAGAAAATAGGATGTTGAAATTTATCCTTACAGAGTCAATAAGTGGCAAATTAAAATTGGCACCAGAAAAATTATTTTGAGGAGTCCTTATTGTCAAGAGTCTGTTTACAATCAACAGAATTTTAAAAATAGTTGAGTTGGAAATGATTAGAATGCAGAGGATTTGATATTAAGACTTGATCTAAGCAAATCAAAGCATAAAGCTTGCATTAACTCAGAGTCCAATTACAGATGAAGTGATAGAAAACGTAACATTCAAAACAAACCATAAACTGAAGCTGCTGCTGTTGAGTCCTTCTGACTCACGAAGACCCTGTTGTTTTAGCACTGCACTTTAACAGGCGTGTTTTCTTGGTTGTATTAAGGAAGAATATTACGAAGTCTTTCTTCTATGGCACTGCTGGTTAGGTTCAAACCACTAACTTTTGGTTAATAATAGACTATAAATGGTTTTGCCTCCAGGGACCCCAAATACAATCAATTAAGCTTGTTCAAATACAAGTCTAATGAAAACAGGACAGGTTGGAAACAAATGTGAAACACTGGTACAAACATAGTATTTGCTTCCTTGAAGGAACATTTTAGGATACAAAAAATTCAAAAAAGAAACAAATCCTATGAATGAGTTCTAAAAGAACTCATTTTTAAGAGAGGAACCAGTAAAGAAAATGAACTCCTTTCTTTCATCAACATTATGCAAAGAAAAGACTTAAAGAGATAATAAATTATGCTTTACGCTAACTGATCTAGAAAGATGAATCAGATTTGGCTACTTTAAAAGTTATACTAAAGGATTTGTAGGTACATGAAA